TTCCTGGAGCTGGGTGGATATCGGGGATACGGGCTTGCGGGGAAGATGGTTATGCTCCCTCCGGGGGAGATGTTTGATAGGTTGTCAAGGAACGTGACATGGGAACCTGTGTGTGAGAATTTGAAGAGTTTTCAAGGTTTTCAGCAGCGGAAGGTTTGTAGATTGGCCTATCTATTTCAAACAGCAATGGCAACTGGCCTTATACGTTATACCCTCCTGTGGGTCACAACAAGGGAGAAAATATTTTCATCCCACCATCAGAGAAAACAGTAGACGCGTGTCCTCCAGAACCGGTGACCAGGAAGAAGAAGCCAGCCAGCATAAAACCATATCGTGTAACTTGAAGCAAGTAACAACCCAGCTAAACCAATATCATGCATCTGCTAGTTAGCCATTGTCGTTATATGCTTGTTTAACGCGATATTACGCATGAAAAGTCTCGTGCCGCATACACTCGCGCCATGTTATGCGGTCCATGACACAACTACTTCATAAGGGACAACTTTGCCACCGATGCGGCCCTCGTTCTCCATTCCTCCCGAACAAAAAATTCTAATCAAAGCGACCCCTACAAACCACCTCCTAACCCACCCCCCCCCCATGGTTCACGGGAGCCCACCGCCGTCGCATGGCTCTGTTCCTCACCAAGCGCGACATACTTTTCAGCCGATCGAGTGCCTCACATGGGGAAGGGGGCATTAAGGGATGGCCCGGTTGTAGTGGTATTCCTCTGAGGTTGGGAAGCGCCAGTTGGGGCCCTGCGGTCGAAGGGTACGGGGTGCGCTGGAGTTGGGGTTGGCGAGGTAAGGGGGTGGGTTGCTGTGGTTAGCGATTGGGAGGGGGGGCGGGAAGGGGGGGCGGATATTTCGGGGTTTTGGACCTTTGGCTAATTAGTGAGTGTGGTTACTGTATCGTGCGGCGAGGGTGGTTGGATAAGGTTTTTTTGTGGTGGGTCTCTTAGGTTGGAAATCGTGAGGCGCTGCTCGGCATGCTCTCTCACCATAGTTTGCTTGTTTGTTGAGGGAGCGCGCTTTGGTTTCGGGTGCGCTATGCCTTCTGGTGCACTTTGGGCTTCCGCCCGCGTAGTTTGGCTTTTACGGAAAAGCACTTCGGTCGCGGGAATGTGCGGGAGTCTTGGAGAAGTGCATCCGGTAGAAGGATGGCGGGGAGACTGGAAGGGGGGCACGAAGGAAAGCGGAAAGGTCATAAGGAGGGCCGGAGCCTGGGTGGCCGAAGTTTATCTTTTCTTCGTTAACTTTTCTTGTTTGCTAGTGTGTGGGAGACGTACCTCGGGGTTTAGGACTTTGCCGTTTCTGTGCCGTTGATATATACCCCTCTCTTTACCGTTAGTTAAATAGAGAGAACGAGCGATAGTGTGAGGTTGGCGAAGTGAAGAGTTTACCCCCCCCTAAGAGTTGTGCGATCCTTTCACGTGAGATATCTTGGCATTTCGTTTCACAGCCCATCACTCATTTCGTTTCGTTGTGCCGTTGCCTCGGATCCCCATTCGGTCGCCCTTCATTGATTGGTTCATTTCGATATCGCGATAGACTCTGCCTATCCGACGTTCAAAATCTAATGCGTTGTAAGAGTGTATGAGACTTCCCTCCTGGAGCTTGGAGTTGTAGTGCTGGGGATCATATACTTGTGCTACATCGGTCTAGGGAAGCTAGGTTTTCTCTCCGCAGTTGCCGTCCGGCAAGTGGGGATTTTCCGAAACCGGCCTGGTTGGCCTTGACTATGCTGTGATGGCCGGCAGCCAATACCCCCGAACCTCGTTATCATGCACCTGGCCGCGCTGCCCTTACACGATGAGCGGTAAGCTCATTTCCGAAAAACGACACTTCCGGGGGAACTGGAGTTTTGTGTAGATCTTGCTTGGATCCAGCACTTTCTTCATTCTTTTTCTCTTCTCTTTCCCGTAAGCCCCCTATCTAGAGAAGCCGTGAATTATTGCGTAGAAGAGGGGAGCGTCCAACCCCAGGAGCCAGTTACGGTTTACATTATCATGCTTTAGCCAATCATGAGTACCCCTCGAATGATAAAAATATGGTCCCGCTAGTTTACCGCCCCGATATACACGGTGCCGACGAGCTCCTACCCGCTCCGCCAAACTTCCGTTCTCTCTGTATACGTTGGTGTACATTAGATATTGTATTAGGAACCAATGTTGGTATTGTAATTGCCACCCGGCACTCGGTATGGGCGAGGTCACGAGCAGTGTGCGTACAGTAAATTTAGGTAGCGCACTCTGTGGTAAGATCCAGTATCATACAGGGTGATTAGGGGTAGATGTACTAGACGCTGTTGGTCGATTGGGTCGGTGTAGGGAAGGTGTGGTATTGCTTTTTGGGTATCGATGGAGACAGAAGAGGGGCAGGGCCTACTACCCGTAGCACTTAATGGGGTGAGGAAGAATTTACATATGGCGTTCGAGGGGGTAAATGAGAGCCCGATTTGAGTTAAGTTTTTAAAGACAAACACGATTAACCTCTGTCTGGGGTTCCTGTTAGGAATATTTCTGGATCCCGATTGCTCTTTCTCCTCGGTGTCCAAGTGCATGCGGTCCTCGTGCGTGACCGAAGCTTATTATTCCGAGAATCTTGTTTTGGCCTCCACCGATCTATGGAGGGGGTTGGCTATTGGTGATTCACTTGTTATAGGGTGTTCAATCCCTTGGTGCATTGGGCTCTCTAACTGTACGAGTAACTATTACTGGGTATTATATTTGACGGTTCGGGATGGCTTTTTTTGAACACCGAATCGGCGGGGCCTCTTGTGATATTGAAACGAACGAACGAACAGCGAAACTAAACGAGTGATGGGCTGTGAAACGAAACGCCAAGATCACTCACGTGAGGGATCGCACAACTCACTGAGTGCGGAGAAAACCCTTCACTTCGCCAACCTCTCACTATCGCGCTCTTTCTCTGACCAACTAACAGTAAAGACAGGGGTATATATCAACGGGACAGGGGACGACAAAGTCCTAATCCCCTATCCTTCCAGGTACGTCTCCCACACTAGCAACAAGAAAAGCTAACAAATAAAAGCCAAACTTCGGCTACCCAACCTCCGGCCCTCCTTTTGGCCTCTCGGATTTCCTTTGTGCCTTCCTTCATGCGTTCCTTCGTACCTTCCTTCCAACGGGTGCACCTCTCCAAGACTCCCGCACCTTCCCGCGATCGGGGTGCTTTCTCGAAAAGCCAAACTGCAGAGGCAGAAGCCATAGCGTGCCCGAAACCAAAGCGCGCTCCCGAACAAACAAGCAAACCATCGTGCGAGCATGCCGAGCAGCACCTCAGGATTTCCAGGTTTGTGGCTTGCAGTTGTGGTTTACGGTGCTGTGGTGGTGGTACTATATGGCGCCGGAGGATCCTGCTTCGGTCTAATAGGAGGGGGGGGGGGGTAGAAACATAGTCGGCAATGTTCGGCAATTTCCTTTGTAGTGTAACTTAAATTGGAAACATATAAAAGACCATTTCTATATGAACCAGGAATGCGAAATTATGTAAGATGGGGGTAAATATGAGCCAAGTGAAATGCCATAAAAGAGTATACCCGTCTGGATTGCCAACGTAATGAAGCCTGCAAATGAAAATCCTTATAGAAACGGTGTCTGACTTGACTTACTATCCCTGGCAACGGATATGAAAATCTAGCACAAACGAGAGTCTTTCGAGAGGGGTTGAAAGCAAGGCAAGCAAGAGAAGTGTATGTGGGAAACAGATTCATATGCTGGTGAGTTAAACGAAATGGATAAGTACACTATAGGCCGGGTGTGAAACGCAGTCACAAGCAGAGGCCGTAGGGTAAAGCTGGGGAATTAGGTTTTTTCTTTGCAAAGTTAGCCGCACTGGGGCGAGAAAAATGGCCAAATTCTGGGAAGAGTTACTAGCTGGATTTCCCAGGCACCAGTATGTATGAAGGGGGCCCATAGGAGATGGTTGCCTGGCTTAGCATCCCGAACTTTCTTCACCGCCTTGTAAAAAGCGGTAGAGACGCGCTGATGGTCGTCTTCGCCGTTTCTGCGATTTTGTAAAAGCAAGTTGTAGAAGTCTCTCGCCACTTCAGATGCCGCATTGTCATCGGTTTCCCACATGTTTGTGAATGTATGAGTGAATCCGGCGAGCTGAAATGCCCTGGCTTCGTCGGCTAACTCCGCGGTGGGGTTTTTGGCGGAGGAACAAGCCGAAAGGATATCCTCCTGCTCGACCTCTTCCACCATGGACCGACTTTCTGGTCCGTATTGATAATTTCTATACTTTTTCTTTTCTTTTTCTTTTTTTCCCCTGTGCTGTATAGTACCACAGGTAGTCGAACTACAAGTACAAATATTTCTCCCAAGTACTAAAGCGATATTTCCTCCCACTCCGCAGATGTAATATCATCTCCCCCTACGGGAAGCCATATTCTCGCCCACGGAGTGGGTAGCGGAACTCACACTCGGCAGATAAACCGGAATTGCGCTAGCATTTTTGGCAGTTGCCGCGTGTGCGCTGCGCAGTCTGCAGTTTACTACAGTTTTCATAGGAACAAGGGGCCGGAATAGTGTGCGGGCTAATTGGTTTGATAAAGCGGGTATGGGTGAGCTTGGTGGGGAAAAGGGAAGAAGAGAAAAAGCCATCTCAAGCTAAATTTGACAGTTGATAGAGAAATAGCAGACCGGTACTAGTATTAAGGAGCCCACCTCTTGTGCTCATGTGGCTGAAGGATCACAATCGGCACACGAGCCAGCATCGTATTTGGTTAGCATGTCCAGGTGACTGCTAACTTTAGGGCGTAGCATCAAAACTAGGGACTCAAAAATGATCCCTACGAGTACTGTACTCGAGCAGTGGGCCTGCGGATCACCTCTTCTTCGCCCCTTCTTTTTTCAGTAGTGCGGTTTTGGTCTTTTTTGTCACTTTTGCGGTCCCGGGTCGTCTCAGAAAAAGAGCCCGCAAGAACGGCGAAGCATAAGTCGCCCTGATAGAATTACCGCATCCGTTTTCCAAGGTCTGAAGAGATGGTTTTGTTGGCATTCTTAAAATACCGATTGTTGCATCCATAGCAACCTCCGACCACTGCCAGACCTCTTTTAGCCATTGGGGTTTTGTTCATAAATATCGCCATGCCCCCCCTTTCCCCTTTTGTACATCTGCGAACTGCGAACATCTGAAAGGGGGGGGCAGGCACGACGGTCACAACCAATCACTCGCTTCCAGCACTCATACCCTCTCGTAGTGAATATGAAACACGGCCCACCGGTCAACAATTCCCGTCCTAAAGCCAATCATGAGGACCAATGCCGTTCCTGTAGACTTGAAGTGTGAAATTAGCAAATGAGGTAACGTACAGTAGATACAAAATAAAAGAAACCCCATAAAAGATATGCTCGGCTCGATGGGCGCACTGTTAAAACTCCTTACATGAAAATGCCCACACCAACAACGCCTAGCTTGACCTGTTCTATCCGCCTCTCCATAAGAAGAAACTCGAACAAGGCCCTTTCGACAGCGACAGAAAAGGAAACAAAGGGGGTAAGGAAGATGAATGCGATAAACTTCTTCACATGATGACGGATTGAGGAGGGATATACCCCCTTTGAAGTGAAACACACTCACAGGTTGAGGAACGGCTCGGCCCGTAGGGAGAATCCCGGAGAGGACGGTTTCTGATGCGCATGGTTTGATTCGGGGAAACTCAGGAAACTGGACTTTTTCTGGGATACATTATTATCCGGATACCCCAGGCTCTCCTTTATATGAAGGGGCCCATACGAGGGTTCCCTAACCAAGCGCTCCGAACAATCTTCACGAAAAAGCGGAGGAGATCTGCTGGTGGTCGTCGCTGTTTTCCGGATTTTGGAAAAGCGAGTTGTGGGAGGCATCGTTCTTGGTTTTCCACACGTTTGTGAAGGTATGGCCTCATACGGCAAGCTAAAATGCCCTCGTTAGATGTGTGACTTCTTTGGCTCAGTTAGCAGAGGGTTTTTGGCTATGGAGCAAGCGGAAAGATATGCAAGCAATGGGGTTAGGGGGGCCGGGTTCAAGATATCTTGGACTAGGGGTTCATCAGCTTTATTCCCATCCTTGTTGAAAGGGCACAGGCGGTTAAAGGGTTGATGTCAGACCCTTGTGAGAGGTAACATTGGCAATTTCATAGCGCTAAGTGTTAGAAATCGCGAGGTGCTGCTCGGCATGCTCTCATGATAGCAGTTTGATATGATTTCTTTGTTCGGATAGCTTTGGGAACGCACGGAAGCTTTGGATTAACACATCCGTCGGAAGGAAAGCAGAAAATCTGTGGGGAAAGCCTGAAAGTCAGAGGTCCGGAGGCAATGGACAGTGGGAGTTTGTCTCTCTGTGCGCACCGGAGCAGGAACAAGAAGGAGGCATCTGAACAATAGGATGGACATGTATTGTAGTCCATGGATGGAAGGACAGAAAGACTCGATTGTCCTTGTGATATCTACTCCTGTCTTTATAGCAAACTCGTTTGTCGAGATGGAGACGAAGAAGAGAGCTTCCCCGCTCCTGAGTTGTGCGATTGTTCCTTGTATGAACTCTTGGCGTTTAGTTTCGCCAAGCAAATACCCCTGCAGTTGAATGCAGCTTCAAGCTAGGGTCTTCCCCTCGGTCATTCAGGTTAGGGTTCTATTGCTGAATTCGGGGATATGATAGAAAATTCTTTTATGAGAAGCATGCATATAAAGTTAGCGAATGGCTTTTTGCAAGCAGAGTCATTTGGCGTTTGACTTACCGGTATCCGTTTTGCCGTTGCGGCGCCCTTTTATCCTGCAGGAGTATTTCTCTCTTGCTCATATTTTTTAGCTACTCTTTTCTCTGGTACTGTAGGTAAACTTAAAGTGAGAAGGCAATTACACAGTAGGGAGGAGGTTCCGTGCGAGGTGGTGAGCAACGTGGTATGAAGCACAAGAGAACCGTACTGTATAGTATCACAATAGAGGGAGGGAACCGAATTATATACCACATGGCACTCGGGTAGTTTGGCACTCGAGTAGTTTATGGCATTTCGAATTTGACAACAAGAACCCGCTCGCGGTACGAGTAGTATTTGCCTCAAACCCCCTACGCATCTTGGAGTGTCCGGCTGTAGACGAGTAGCCGAGGTCTGTCACTAATACCGGTATACCTGTAATGTCTTTCGTCTTAATTTATGCACCCCTAGCCCTACCTCACTCCTTATTTTCCAAATACTATACCGGTAGTTCCGCCCTAGCTGCGAAATCTAATCAACTATTAAAACCTCCCGCCTCCTTTCCGGGTCTAGAATACTCGAAGCGTATCCCCTTGTGGATGGACCTAACATGCGGTACCCTACACTAGAAATGCATGAGTACTTTATCATACCAGTACCGTATTTTGCCCTACACCGATACCTCTGCCGGTCTCTGACTATCCGGGATTGCTGCGGCCCGATACTCCTCCCATGCGCCTCATCCGGCTGATATTGTTTCTTGTACGTACGTACGTCGGGCAAATGGTATGGAGGTTGCATTAATTGAGAAGTCATCATGTAATTCTTTGCTAAGCGAGGCTCCCGCCATCTAGGTAGTACGAACGGTTCAACATGCGGTAGTACAGGATACCCATGGTAGTTTACCTGCAAATCATCGGTTAGCTCTGCCTGCTAGGAGAGAACCTCGGGGAAAGTGCTTTAGCTTACGTCGCGGCAAATTCAAAATGACTACCACCCTATTGATATTTTGAATAGAAGAATAATGCGTCCTCATGGGACCCTCTCCTCGTAAAGCACTGTGCAAGGACTGAGCTTGCAGTGGGCACAGGAATCGCTCCCCTTGATGTGAGAAACGTCCGACCTGACAGAGTGATGGGAATTATCATCTCCATGGTAGGTAGCGGTGATTCTATTCGTATGCTAGGATACCCCGCCATATACATAAGGAGCGGTGCATCTGGGAATGACAAACACCCGAAGCAAGCGCACTTCCCTACTGTCACATCATTATGACCCATGGGACGGATCTACATTCTATGGAGAAAGTGAAGAATGCAATTCCGACAATCCCTAATCACAAACCACGACACCATTCCCATCGAGTTTTGGTGTACAGTTGTACTAGAAAAGAGGTGGATATAAACATAGTGAAAGCTCATAAAAGGATATACCCGGTTAGATAAAGCCGGTAATCCAAAGACCAATAGCAACAGTGACTAACTCAATTCCTCCCCTCCCCGCCCGCAAATATGAAAATAGAGCCCGAAAAAGACCCCTTTGACAACAACCAAAAAAAAAACAAGCAAGAAATGTGCACGCATAGAAGTAAACACGTTGATATGGTGAGAAACTTGGGAAATAGGGGGTCGTCTTTTGAACAGAGTATAACTGTAGTCGTGAGCGCAGCAGAGGAACGATGAAGCTAATAAGGTGGAGCTGAGGAAATAAGCTTTGGTTTTTCAAAGTTAGTTACACTAGAACGAAATGGGACGGAAAAACTCCAGAGCATGCTACCAACCGGACATTCTAGGCACCCGTGTGTATAAAGGGGGCCCATACAAGGGGTTTTCCAGGTATCCGATCCCTAAGTTTCTTCACCGACTTGTGAAATGCGGCGGAGACTAGCTGGTGGTCATCGTCGCAGTGCCCCCGATTTTTTAAAAGCAAGTCATAGAAATCACTCGCAACTTCACAGGCCGCAAGATCATCAGTATCCCACAAGTTTGCGAGGGTATGGCTAAACCCTGCGAGCTGAAATGCGCTAGCAGGGTGTATGGCTTCGTCGGCTAAGTCGTCCGAGGAATTTTTAGCTGAGGAGCAGGCAGAAAGGTATGCAATCTGTGCATTTTGCGCAACAAGATTCGATATATCTCGAGCCCGGAGGTTATCAGCTTTATCCCCATCCTGGTTGAACAGAATTAGGTGGCTGTCGGAAGGGTTGTTGATGTTGGACACTCCGTGGCAGGCGAAATGGACAATTTCGTGGTGGCTAACTTCCTTGAGAACCTCGACGGGAGTGGGTTTTCTCAATAACGTGGTTTCAACCGGTCCCCCAACAGCCAAATCGCGTATGTGTAGAACCTCTTTCTGGACGCCAGGTAGATCCCCCTTACCAGGTGTTTCTGGCATCGGAACGAGAAGCAAGCGGGGATTGCGTTCAATGAGTATTTTGGCCTTCTTAAAACGCTCCGGTGAAACTGCAGCGCCATATTCTTCAAACAGGCGTAATTTTGTTTGGCGTGCATAGGTGAGAGCTTTGATTGTTGGGATATATGTTGAAATAGCCCGGCTTAAAGTGTTACGGGTTGATCCTCGCGAATGGTCCCCAGCCGCATGGAAGGGTGCTATACTCAATTGGCCTACCCCGATCCACAAAATCCGCTTCAAATTGGTGCCGCCAATGCCCCCACCGATAAGAGTGCCGTTGCTTTCAAGATGATCAAAAACGGGACCTACTGCCGCATCCCATAACCAAATGAGGAGGTCTTTCATTTTTTTATTATCTTGACCTTGCTTTTTCCAGTTTCCTCCTCCAAAACTAGCCAATTCCTGCATGCGGCGAACTGTCTCGTCGTATAACAATTTTGAAAGTTCTAAAGAGGTTATAGCTGAGGTGGTGACAATTATAGCGTCGCTCCTATATACGGTGCAATTGAAGACAACGATTGGACCATTCACTGCCATTTTCATCATTGCATCCTGAGTAGGAGGGAGCAGGAATCCAGCATAACCTGGTAACCCGCGGATATACCTCAGAATTTCTTCCATCTCATTAGCAGCCACCCAACGTCTTGATATTGCACGATTCTGGCGTTGATTGGGCGTTTCTTTACTTGGGCTGCTGATTCCATCAGCTGGGGAGCCAATCTCAACTCGAAGACGGTGAAATCGGTCGAATGTGAGTGGGTGGTCAGTTTTGAGGTCCGAAACATCGGATCTTGAGTCAATTAAAAAGCCCATGATTATCCCACGACCAAGCTCTAGTATCTTGAGACTGTCATAGGCTCCTCTCCCGGCCTGAAGAGCAACGGAAGCGGCAAGTGAGGCTAGGCCAGAAATTTCCGACAGCATGTGCTACTAGTCATCGCGTTTGAGGAATCGTAGATCAACACTGGGTATTAAGTTGACTGCATCCTCCAGTATGGAAATTGATTCACGAAACTTTCTAGCTGGATATAGTAAAGAAGCTGCTTGGCGGGCCGCGTGAATCCGCACCCTGGGGGGCGAGGTGCGGCAACCGTGAGCCTCAATGTAGAGGTGGAGGATTCTATTTGGGTCATTCCAGGGGTGGAGCTGTGGGAATCGTGATTCTAAAAGTGAACCGAGGAGAGTGCATACACAGGCACGGAGTGGGTGATCACGGGGGGTAGCAGCTAGCGCCTGCTCGGCGTGCTCAATGGCTTTTTGGAGGTCTCCTAGGTCTCCTGTCCTCTCAAACCTTGAAGACAACAAGTATCCCAAGTTGTTGTGCCGCGTCGCTCGAGCTGGGTGATTTTGAGGGGTAGCAGTTAATGCTTCCTGGCCGTGATCAATGGCGTTTTGGAGGTCTCCTAGGTCT